GCATTTGAATTGTCACACTTTATGCGTCCACATATGGAAAATGCAATTGCAAATGCAATTTGCAATTCCTTTTGAAAAATGTCCGGGATTTCCCTCCATAACTATCTTCTCCAGAACTTTTGACAAAAATGGCACGTTAGAGATAGGTCTGTAATTACTGAGCTCCTGTGGATCCAAACTTGGCTTCTTCAGTAGTGGGCTGATTACTGCTATTTAAGTTGGTCAGGAACATCACTTGTGTAGGAGGGCAGGCGGTGGCTGACGTGGGGAAACTCCGCCCTCATAGAGTATTTCAAGATGCCGGCTGCCCCAAATACAGATGCCCATGGCTGGATATTGACTACCTTGTCGCTTTTGCGCAATTGAAGTTGGGGGATTATTCGTAAAACGCGCTTGACTTTATACACCGTTTTAGCCAGCTGAGGCTGGCTGAAGACACGCGGTGGAAATTTTCATTGTGAAGTTTGTACTGTATGCTTGTTGTATACTTGTTGTCTAGTGAGGATTTAGCAATCCAGTTACAAGCTCTTACTGACAGATTGATAAACTTGATAAAGAGAATGCCATACTTAAGCAGAAACTGGAACAAAGAACGATGAGGTTGGTGGGGGCTGTAACTCCCCCTGTTGCTGGTGGGTTAGGTGATGAGGTCACAACATCTGTTCCACCTTTTACTATGGCACCTATGGTCACTGAAAGGTATGTGTATGTACCTATGGAGAGAAAATGTCCTAGGTTTTTGGGGCAAATGGTACAAGATCACTTGGATGTTGAGGATTGGATTGAGGAAGTTAGGCATTGCTTTGTCAGAACAGGCGCTATTTGTGTTTGATCTTTTAGATGGAGAGGCCAAGATGGAGATTAAGTTTCGCCCAGAGGAAGATAGAAGGGACTCTATCTTCTACTCTAGAGTGGATCTTCAACATATTAAGGGAGGTATATTCGACATTCGACGGAAGATGGTGGCGTGTGCACCACACGAGGCTCAGCGTCTCTTCAGATTTTGCAAGCCTTATTCTTGCTAATTTTGGGTCTGTTAGTTCAGAACAGCTTCGCTTTTACATCTTATACCCGACAAGAGGTTTTGGATATAGGATTAAACAACTCTGACTGTTTTATTAACAACTTTCGACTCATCCCTGAAATAAGAAGAACACCCGATGCTTCACAGGCTACTCCGGTGAACCGGAAGTGCTCGAAGACGGCGCAGGGACCATAAACAATGGCAGGGGAAATGCGGAGGGCTAACAGCTAAGCTAAGGCTAAAACCACACCGGCTTTCTTTACCCAGTATTTTCCTTGCTAATATACGGTCCCTGGTGAACAAAATGGATGAGTTAGACTCCGGATCACGAACGACAGGAGATTTATGGACTGTCATGATACTCACGGAAACATGGCTACACAGCGGAATACCTGACAATGCTATCGAGCTAGTTATCGAGCTAGTCGGACGCCACACTCTCCGGGCGTATAGAATAGCAGGTGATTCCGATAAGACGAAAGGTGGAGGATTGTGCATTCATGTGAACGAGGCTTGGTGTACGAACTCTGTCATTGTTGGAAAACATTGCTTAGCTGACCTACAGTATCTCATGGTAAGTGTAGACCGTTCTATCTGCTGAGGGAGTTCATCTCCACTATAATAAAAGCTGATTCCACCGGATGCTAATGCCAAACTTGCTATGAACGAACTCCATGTGGCCATTAGAAAACAACAATCTGCACACCCTGAGGCTGCATTTATCGTAGCGGGTGACTTCAACCACTCCAACCTAAAGACGGTGCTACCTAAATATCATCAGCATGTCTCCTGCCATACCAGAGGGAATAAAACCTTGGATCATTTCTATACAAACATTGTTGGAGCCTACACAGCAACGCCCCTCCCCCACCTGGGACAGTCTGATCACCTTTCTTTGTTCCTCACCCCCAAATACTCATTGCTCATCAACCCAGTGAAACCATTTGTGAAGACCATCAAAGTGTGGCCAGCTGTGGCTCTCACATAAACATTGATTCTTATACGTACTCAGTACTGGAATACATCATCACCACTATCAACAGTGTTACTACAGAGAAGTAGATCACAACGTATCCAAATCAGAACCCATGGATGAACAAGGAAGTGAGGCTTCTGCTAAAGGCTTGTAATAATGCCTTCAGATCAGGTGATGCACGGGCCTACAGTAAGTCCAGGGCAGACCTGAAGAGGGGCATCAAGAAGGTCAAGCTCAGCTACAAGCTGAAGGTGGGGGAGCACTTTATCAACTCGGACCCCCTACTCATGTGGCTGGGCATTCAGGCCATCTCAGGCCATGAATGTGTCCTCCCTCGATGAGCAAAATGACTTCTACGCTCATTTTTACAAGGACATCAAGAAAAAGACTGCCAAAACCTTACCCTCTGATGACTGCCATACCCTCACTTTCACCATCATAGATGTTCGTAACGCACTGAGCCGTATCAATGCTCGTAAGGCTGCTGGCCCTGATGGCATTCCTGGATGTGTGCTTAGAGCATGTGCTGAGCAGCTTGCAGGGGTCTTTACGGACATTTTCAACCTATCCCTTGCCCAGGCAGCAGTACCAGTGTACTTCAAGACCACCTCCATAGTGCCAGTGCTGAAACACTCTTCACTGAAGTGCCTGAACGACTACTGCCCTGTGGCACTCTCGCCCATAGTTATGTAGTGCTTTCAGCGACTGGCCCTGGCACACCTTAAGAAATGCTTGCCCCCCACACTGCATCCTCAACAATTTGCCTACCAAAGCAATAGGAGTACAGAGGATGCTGTACCCACAGCGGTTCACTGTGTACTCTCACACATGGACAACAAGAATACATATGCAAGAATGCTGTTTGTTGACTTCAGCTCAGCCTTTAATACAGTCATTCCCTCCAAGTTGATCACTAAACTTGTGGATCTTGGAATCAGCAACTCTATCTGTAACTGGATCATGGACTTTCTGACCAACAGACCCCAGCATGTTAGGTCAGGCCATAACTGCTCTACCACCATCATACTCAACACTGGCACTCCACAGGGCTGTGTGCTGAGCCCGTTCCTCTACTCCCTTTTCACCTGTGACTGCAGGCCTATGTATGGGCCCAACTCCATCATCAAGTTTTCAGATGACACCACGCTGATCGGTCTCATCACTGACAACGGTGAGTCTGACTACAGGGAAGAGGTAAAGCACCTAGCTGTATGATGCGCTGACAATAACCTGCTCCTGAATACCAGCAAAACCAAGGAGCTCATTGTGGACTTCAGGAAGCAGAAGGGAGACACCCATGACCCCATCCACATCAATGGCTTGGCTGTTGAACGGGTTTCCAGCTTCAAATTTCTGGGGTCCCACATCTCAGAGAACCTGTCCTGGTCAACCAACATCTCCAGCCTGGTCAAGTAGGCCCATCAGTGCTTCTTCTTTTTGAGGACACTGAAGAAGAACCACCTGTCTGCTGACATACTGGGTAACTTCTACCGCTGTGTGACCAGCCTTTTATGGGAATTGCTCTGTTGCTGACCGCAAGGCACTGCAGCAGGTGGTAAAAACAGGAACCTTCAGACTAAAACCAGCAGGTTTAGGAACAGCTTCTTCCCCACAGCTATCACCCTACAGCTAGGTGCTTTACCTCTTCCCTGTAGTCAGACTCACCGTTGTGAGACCGATCAGTGTGGTGTCATCTGAAAACTTGATGATGGAGCTGGGGGTTGAGGGTCTTGCCACAGATGTGCTGAGGCTGGGCTTGAACCGGCAACCTTGTGATTACAGGCACACGGCTTAGCCCACTGAGCGACACGCTGCCCCCAAAGAAGTATACTTCTGTAAACTTGTACTTTGGCACAAGTCGTGTGAATAAAATATAGATTTTCCTACAAATGTGTGGTGATTTTGTGTGACAAAATGTTACTTATGACCCATAAGTGGTAATGCATTTAGAAAGAAAGTTGCTACCCCAAAAAACACTGCTAGTTACACTATTGCCATTTTGGATAAGTTTCAGATTAGTTTAGGTTAGGTTTTGGATAGGAAAGGCTCCCAGTTGCACCATTTGCTCTTTCCTCCGTAAAACCTGTTGGGCTGCATCAAATGATATGAAATTGGGCACACATGTAGAAAACAAGTTTGGGAACCAGATTTTTAAAATTGGACCTATTCCATCATGTAGTTTTTGAAATATTTACAAAAATCCAAGACACAAAGACAGGTTTTTGTATTTTTCCAGCTGTTTTTGTTATATTCGCATGTCCATAAATTATACACAGGTTATTCATTTCGTTATTGAACTTCCTACAATCAATTGTAAAGGGGTCAACTCTGATTTTAGGTATCAGGCATGTGTCTGTGACTTTTATATCTGAAGTTATAAGGTAATTATTCCAAAGAGGGAAGAAATGCCCCCCCATGCAAGGGGCCCCTGGTGCCCTCCATAGAGTTAATAGTGTTTCTGCTTGTTCTTCTGAAATAACAGACCTTAAAGAATGCCTTTCTAAGCAACAGGAGCAGCTGGAGTTGATTGTGATGCGGCTAGGGCCTGTGCAGAGTTCTCCTCAGACAAGACCAACCGACCCATGTACACGTAGGTTTAAGCTGAGATTCCACTCAGATGGTAGACCTATCTGTTGGAAGTGTGATAGCCCTGGCCATATCACTAGGTTCTGCAGGGCAGGAGTAGGGTCAGAAGCTGTCAGCAATGGGACTGAACAGTGACAGGAGCCTAATTAGGGAGCAACTGAGTTTCGGGCGAGAAGCAACCAGATGGGAAACTAGAACCCCCTAGGGGTCTGTGGCCAGGCACTGGGTGGGGAATTAGAGGGTATTAGGGGAATTTGGGAAGTCCGACCACAACGCCATCAGAGAGGTTAGTTGGTACATTGGGCGGAGCTTAAAGCTCTCCCCCATCTATGACGTAATAAGCGGGAGGTGGGCGTATCCTTTGTACTGATTGGTTGAGGGGTTTTGGCCAAATGGTATCATACATGCCAGGGTATCTGCAGGTTTCTACGAGTTAGATTTAAGACTTTTTAAGACCTTTTTAATACCGTACAGAATGAAATTTAAGACCAATTTTGTAGTAACAAATTTGCAAACACCACACAACACAACCAATTACCTTAAACTCTTTATTGATTTACAGAAAGAGTGAAACAAAATTGCAAAACATAGTCTTTGCACTGACTAATCATTAGGAAGAATATTGACAGCCATGGGCTTATGAAGATTTCAAACAAACACTGCACAGCAGTAAGTACACTGCATGCCATTAACCTGAACATTTGTTTTTTACTGTATTGATCTCAGTTCTTTGCCCTTTGCCTCCAACTCGGTCTCAATTTGCTGTAATTCACTTGTTTTTTCTTTATATCTCTTCCTCAGTGTGTTTGATTTTGTAATGAGCTGTGCCATCAAGGTGCCAGCTTTTCCTTCAGCTTCTTCTGCAAGCTGATCTGCATCCCTCTGCAGGCTCATAGATACCTGGACCAGAATTTTCTTTTTCTTTTTCAGGTGCTCGATGTTTTCTTCTAAAGATTTCCGTTTCTGTGCCTGGACATCTGTAATTTTCTTAGCCTTCTGCTGATCAAGGTGCATTCTATATCTAGACCTGGCAGATGCAGCTGAGGCCAGTAACTCTTTAGAAATAGGCACATTGAGGAGCCCCCCACAGATGTTGACATAATCGCATACCAGTCGATGCGTGACCATTGTCTCCTCCTGCATATTGCAGGTCTCCACTTCTTTGTTAATGGAGAATCCCCTCTCCACTGTAGCCTGCCCATGGGACAGGAGAAGCAGTTTCTTGCAAAAGCCCCACAACTCATCATAGCGCTCGGCAAGTACACCATGCAAGAACGTATCTAGCCTGGTCTCTGTGGATCGGTATGAGACAAGGGTCTCATTTTCAGCAGATAACATGTCACTAAACTGCTGGATTATCACATCACCTACAGAAAACAACAGTAAGGAAAAAATACTATTAATTTTATTTTTTTTAAAAAGTATGCATATAAAGTATTAATACAATGTTTACACAAGCCATTTTTTACATTTAGAATAATGGCATATTTCACAACTTGATTTACTACACTTCGATAGAACTGAACTATTCTTTCCTACCAGCAGACACCCCTCCTGACAACTGTTGGGCTTGCAAAAACTTCTGCACCAGTTTTGTCATGTTGCTCTTGCACCAGTCAGGGTCAGACAACATCATGCTGGGATCCAAACAGGCCACCTGCCTCACTACAGGATACTTTAATGGGCTCTTTTCCTGTACTTTCTGGATGATGGTAGACATCATTTTAAGACAGTCTTTCCTAAACTCCAGAACTGTGAGTTCCCCTATCTTTTTCTGTTTCTGTAGTTCCTGATGGGAGGATGCAAAAACCTATTATAACCTATTATGACCTTTTATGAAATCAAGCTTTTAGCCGAATCAAAATAACTTGAAAACAATACCTTAAGAAGAGATTCTGCACCCAAGCCTATGTTTACTTCCTTTGGGTTGACCCAGCTCTGATTGTCACTGACATCCAATCTGACCAGCTGAAGTGGACTGATATCCTTGAGTACTTCTTTCTTGACAAAACGCCTCAGCATACTCTGCCAAAACACACAAAAAAGTTACATTTACTTGAGTTCAATTTTAGTATACTACTGTAACAACTATTGTTAGTGTTTGCTTCATCTCCTAGTTCCATAAACTATGTATGCCATTAAATGGAAAACTTCCAAACAAGATTTAAAATTAAATAAAATTATTAGATTAATTATTATCAATATGAGAGTGCTGTACTGGAAATACAATACCTTCAACAGCTCAGCCAAGTCTTTGGCAAAGAACGGAATCACAGGCACATCTGTTTGATAGAAGGTAAGGAAAGGACTGAAGGTCCTTGTGATAGCCATGTAGAAATGTAGCTTTGCCAGAATAAGAGGATCTTTTTCAGCAGCTTCAAGAGTGTCATAAGATGCCGTTCCTGGATTTGGTATCTTCTTTTTCCTGACTGCATCCATGTACATGGTCACCGATGGCCAAACCTCCAAAGCTCTCTCCACGACTGGTAGATTTTCGAGCCACCTGTGTCCACAGAACGGAAGTGGAAATTTTGTGCATTTGGTTAGAGCTGTGAAATCCTCTCTCCTAGCTGGCGCATTGTGGAAGAGTATGTGCAAGGCCCTTAGAACCTTCTCCATGTGCCAAATGGAGAAGCCACGTTTGCAGGCATTGTGGAGGGTGTGGAGGCCACAGCTCCCCACCACAATTAGCTGTGTGCCACCAAACTGCTCATGATGCTCCTGTTGCAGGAGATCTAAAAACCTCCAATTAACATTTGGTCCATCCATAGAAACAGATAGAAGGTTTTTCAAGTCCAACTGCAATGCACATTCCTAGGGAAAAGGTAAATAAATAAAAATATAAAAGTATATATATACACACACACACACATATACACACACACACACACATATATATATATATACATACACACATACATATACATGTGTGTATATATATATATATATATATATAAAACTTTTATAC